CACACACACACACACACACACACACACACACACACACACACACACACACACACACATATATATATATATATATATATATATCTATACATCTTTTGGGCACACTTAGGAGGACGGTTATAATTAATAGTTAACAACAGCTCGCAGTTTGGCAATGACTTGGAACAATGTCACGCATCTCGTGCAGATATGTATATTTCGACAGTACAGCACACCACCAGTGCCAGATTTGTCACACAGATCTACCGTTCCAGTTCTGCATTGTTTTACTCGGGCACCTGTTCAGGAAATAGTCCGCGTATAATCGTACACTCAATAGGAATACTGATTTTTCACCTTCTGTACATCATACTCGTTTCAAGGTGTCCTGGTTCAGCTGCCGCTTCCGTCCCATTTGAATGAGAAGACCGTCACCGAGAGCGTGCACCATTCCAAAGACGTTGACGGATTCACTTCGACAAATGTCGGGCTTTTGATGAAGGGCGATCTGAAGAGTACGTTTGTGTCCTGCACACCAAAAGGCTGTCTTGCTTTGCTGCAGGAGAATAACCTTCCCATTGCGGGCAAAGTGGCTGTTGTCTTGGGGCGTAGTAATATTGTGGGTCGACCCATAGCTTCGTTGCTAGAGAAGCACAACGCCACTGTGATACTCTGTCACTCGAAGACAGCGAATTTGACATCAATCATTGGCATGGCTGATATCTTGATAGCTGCCATTGGCAAGCCCGGGTTCGTGACAGGGGACATGCTCAAACCTGGATGCGTGGTTCTTGATGTAGGGATCAATTCCGTGGCCGATGCTACGCGCAAGTCTGGTAGCAGGTTGGTAGGAGACGTGAACTTCGACAGTTGCAAGACAGTTGCGTCTGCAATCACGCCAGTGCCCGGCGGTGTGGGGCCTATGACCGTGGCCATGCTGCTGGAGAACACACTAGAAGCTTACAACCGTGGTGTACGGCCCCAAGGGGGTGACTGGAAACTCATGCCGACCCCTCTGAAGAAACTAGATCCCGTGCCAAGCGATATTGCTATCGCGGAGGTAGCGGTGCAGAAGCCTGTGCTAAGCTTAGCTGAAGAAGTAGGGTTGGACCGATCGGAAGTGTTGCCGTATGGAATGGGCCTTGCCAAGATCGACAACTCGGCTGTGCTTGAACGGTTACAAAGCCAAAAGAATGGCAAATACGTCTGCGTGACTGGAATCAATCCCACACCATTGGGAGAAGGAAAAAGCACCACCGCTATAGGTCTCGTGCAGGCGTTGGGTGCGCATCTGCAAAAGAACGCATTCGCCTGCATTCGACAGCCGTCGATGGGGCCCACATTCGGTATCAAGGGGGGTGCAGCGGGAGGAGGTTACTCACAAGTCGTGCCCATGGTGGACTTCAATCTGCATCTCACGGGCGATATCCACGCCATCTCACTTGCCACCAATCTGGTCGCCGCCGCTATTGACGCGCGTATACTGCACGAGAGCACACAGACCGACACGGCGCTGTTCAACCGCCTCGTCCCTGAGCACAAGGGAGTACGGTCCTTCAATGACATACAGCTGAGGCGCCTTCGAAAGCTCGGCATAACTCAGAGCCTTCCGGCAGAGCTCAGCGAGAGCGAGCGCGCGCGGTTTGCTCGGCTGTCTATCAATGCGTCTACGATCACGTGGCGAAGGGTTGTGGATGTGAACGACCGCTTTCTGCGCGAGATCACCATCGGCGAGTCCGCTACAGAGAAAGGCCTGACGCGGAAGACGGGGTATGATATCGCTGTGGCGAGTGAGCTGATGGCCATCCTCGCGTTGTCTAACAATTTGAGTGATCTCAAGACACGCGTGTCTAAGGCTGTGTTTGCATCTAGCGTTGATGGCGATCCTCTCACGCTTGACGATCTAGGTATCACAGGCGCAGTCACTGTGCTGATGAAGGATACACTTATGCCCACACTGATGCAGACGCTCGAGGGAACGCCTGCTTTTGTGCACGGTGGACCGTTCGCAAACATCGCGCACGGCAATAGCTCTATAATTGCCGATAAAATGGCCCTTAAACTGGTGGGCGAGGACGGTTACGTTGTGACGGAGGCCGGATTCGGGGCAGATATTGGCATGGAGAAATTCTTCAACATCAAGTGCAGGGCCAGTGGGGATATCCCTAATTGTGTTGTCCTGGTCACCACTGTCAGAGCCCTCAAAATGCACGGCGGCGGTCCTAATGTCGTTGCGGGCAAGAAACTCCCAAGCGCGTACACATCCGAAGACTTGGATTTGGTGAAATTAGGCTCATCCAATCTCGCTCGACACATTGAGAGTGCGAATAAGGTATTGCGGTTAAGAATCTTAACAAACGCTATCGTTTTAAATATTGTACTGCATGTTGATCGCGCTTGCTCTTTGTCTATCCTTACTTTGTATACCTGTTTTTATAGACAAAATGTGATTGACATCCCTGATTTGCTTCCAATCATCAACAGTTTGGCGTCCCTGTTGTCGTAGCCATCAATCGGTTCACATCGGACACGACGCGTGAGGTCGAACTCATCCGAGAGATAGCTATCAGTGCCGGTGCCCGTGGCGCTGTCGAGGCTGATCACTGGAAGGAGGGTGGTGCAGGAGCTGTGGAACTGGCCCAGCAAGTGGTAGAAGCATGTAAATTGGAGAGTGACTTCAAGGTGCTGTACGAATTGGAACAGCCAATCGAGGTATGTCTGTGTGTATTGTTTGGTACGGGATATACTACACCCTCCTGTCACTTTGCCTGTTGGCATATTTCGTTTGCTACTGAGAATGTAGTCTGTCACCCTGCATAGATAAGCGTCTGCGCCTTACGAACTCACATCTTCGTGTACCTGCACATCACCAGGCTAAGATCGAGACCATTGTCAAGGAAATCTATGGCGGTAGTGGTATTGAGATCAGTCCTCTAGCAGCATCACGAATCGAGGACTACACGCGACAGGGCTTCGGAAACCTGCCCATATGTATGGCCAAAACACATCTCTCTCTATCAGCAGACCCCACTGCTAAGGGTCGGCCTGAGGGCTTTGTCATTCCCATCCGAGACGTACGGCTCAGCGCTGGTGCAAACTTTCTGTATCCACTGTGCGGGACGGTAAGTCGCAATAGTCTTGTTCGAATTGCCCAGTGACAGTTCATATTGGAGTTTTGGGATGTTTTGGCTGCATCCGATTGTTGAAATTCACAAGCTAAAATGCTTTCCAAACCTATTCTGTACAGATGAGCACCATGCCCGGCCTGCCCACGCGGCCATGTTACTATGATATTGACCTCGACCCAGTGACTGGAAAAATATCAGGAATGATGTAAATCCCGACCTATAGTGCTTGCTACATTACTTATGTGATAGTTATCGTAACGCGTGTCCACTACCCAATCGTTCGCGAGAGCACTCCATGCAGTCGTCTGATCGAACCTTCGACGTACACCAAGGAAACCATCTGTGGTCTGCTCGGGAGTGATCATGGCATCACTGACGTTTGGTATTATGACTCTTAGCTGGATCGGTCAAGACTATGCCATATAGCGCAACTCGTATAGGAAGAGCTTCTATGCGTGTACATAAGCGCAAGCTAGGTATCGTAGGCAGCACTAGCATCGTATCGATGTAGACATCAATATCTTAGTATACCGGAAGGCATAGAAATTAATTGCTGTCGATATTCGACAGACATTTAATGGGCAGCGGGACGCACCAATTAATGCACGCTGCGAGGTCCATAGACGACTACAGCTATTTCCGATCGCGTTTAATTAGAAATTGATCGATGATTTATGATCAGAATAATACATATTAAATATGGCCCACAAACGGGCATGATCTATTGCCATGTACCTATTCAGTGCTAGTAAGCTACTTGTGTATAAAGCCAACAAGTCCGCTGGTTGCGGTTGCAGCACCATATACTTATACATTATTGGTTATTCACCCTACATACATATATAACCACACCGGGCGAAATTTTGCTTTACTTTGATTCTCACCTCTACTAGCCGACGATTATACAAATAGCATCCGTGGACGCGTCGAAGTTTGCGCGGTGGGGTGCATTGAGAATGTTGACGAGTCGATATTCACTATTTAGTCCGAATTGCAGCTGCGCAGAGTTATCTACTTATGAATTTCAAATTCAATGATAGACGATAAGAAATCTCCTGTCAGAAAGTATAGGCTTTGCACGGTTTATTCCAGTCCCTCTTCATGATTTATGTGTGCCGTTCGATTGGACTCGTCCAGCAAAGTTCTGTTTCCAACCCCCTTTTGTAGCGTTTAAATTACATGCTCATTCCATTTAAAGACCGAATTCTTGGTGCTGAACGATATTGTGTGGATTCATATGGACTTTCAGGTGGGCACAGCAATCGAATTGACTCCCATATAATAGGGCAAGTGAATGGCAAATTTCTTCGCTCAAGACGCGACAACCGGAACTGAGTATCCTTCCACCGTATGAGCATATATGAAGGTGTGCTTCGCATGCGCTAGGCATTCCGTGCTCGGCTGGGGCAGACGTTTATACGCTTCATGGTGCTTCGACTATTAGAATGCAGCATTTAGTACCGAGTCAGCTGCCGTCATTGCTCATTTTTGCAAGATTAAAGAAAAACTGATCTTTTCTACGTCGCGCGACCCAACAAGAACGGGAACCAGTATGTGGTCTCCGCCCCACTTTGATCATCTTGCCATACTAACGTTTCTTTCAGTAAGAATTCTAGACATTTCGTAGCTGCAGTGTAGAAGAAATCGATATACGATGAGAAGCCTGACATACGAAGCCTGACTACATTAGAGACAACGAAATCACGATGTATCTATCCAGCGGGTAAAAATAGACTACTATCAAGCGAAAGCTCTCTCGCCATGTAAACTCACCTTGTAGCTTGGTCCACTTTAGTTCCTTGATCATTTGCGATAGCGTGACAAACCCAGACTCCATTGCCAATTTGAAAACAGCTTGATGGTCTTTGTTGAGCTCAGCCGGGATTGATTGAATCAGCGAATCATTTCCTACCTACACAAAGCATCATTCTATAGCTTTATAATCAAAGGAAAATAATGGAGTGGACACACACGACTCATCGTTGAATGTGATTATTTCTATTCCGCGGCCATTTTCAAGATCGATATCAATCATTTTGGATTATTTTTGTCGACGCTCAATCAAAATTGAAGTACCAAATAAATACTAAAAGTACTATATATGCAGTTCTTTCAAAAATAGCTCAAAACGTATACTTTTAACACTTCCGACCACGCATGGGCATTTATATATTTACATCAACTGTAAGAGCATGTGTACTTGTTTGCAATATATATATGTATAGTAATATGTACACCTAAAGTATATATTAAGCATGACAACAGGTAAATCTATGAGCATAGGTATGTGCATAGGCTATCTAGAGGTCCATACATGTACATTCTTACTTCTATATACGAATATACCAGTGGTTGAAACCACCTTACCTTCAGGAAATCGAAACCCTTTCCTAAATTTTTCAACGTCTTGACTGCTCTTTCACAATCGTCTTGCGATACTTCGGGGGCGTTCCTGGGTCGGACCTTCTTCAGCGATTTCATCACATCATCCATCTCCATCAAACCACCTGGTAAGATACAAGATGCAAGTAAAATTTCCGTTAATTATATGCATCATGGAAGTCTATTGATATTGCAACGTATCACTCGATCGTTTGGTATTCAGCGGTCACTGTACACTGAATACGTGTACATTAGGGTAGATATTTATTCGGAAAGGAAGCTACTACAACAGTAAATTATGTCTTCTCCAAAACATGGGTTCACTTACCGTTTCTTTTTTGGGAAGCGAGGCACACCTCTACAATCTGCACGCCTAATTCGAAATAGAAATCGCCCACACCGAGCAGCTCCGACCAGAAACCTACGCACACGGCCAGGAAAAGAATGTGAGCAATTCAACATATACAGCACTGCGCTTGAACACTACGAGTGTTTCCTGTGCAATGGCTGGTGTCTCTTGTCTCTCAGCCCAATGTGGAAACCCAAAACACATGACAACGTTGTAATTTGTGAACTTTTTACCTTTCTTCGAATTCAGCGGATCGACTCCAACCTGAACACACATTTGCTGGAATTGAGCACGGAATTGAGGATTTTTCCGGATATCTTTCTTGTGTTTAGTCGCGAAAATTTCTAGTTGGCTCTTGAAGACCTCCATCTGCTTTGTCATGGAAGCAACTTCCACTTCCTCCATCTCTGCCCCTACCTGCCGATCAATGTGCGAATTCGAAACGCTTTCGATGAGTTCAGAATAGCGTTGAATCACCCACTAAAAGGGATACAAAAGAAATCGACACACCAGTGAAAACATGTCGTAGTACTAACGTATATTGTCTCACAGGTCTACGCAAAATTCAAATTTGATATTGGGATATAAATGATGTAAAATTCTCATCCTGCTCACTATCTGGACAAATACAAGGGGAACCTGCAAAAAAAGAAGATATGCAAACAACTACGAGAATCATGTGTGATCGTGGATGGATATGAACATATTATTCGGATGCAATAATATTTGGTACCCAGTTATAAATCAGACTGATGTGAAAAAAGCTCATCTGCGTGTTGCCGAAAGGAGTACAGTCACTACAAAATAAAATGTAGAAAATCGAGCGGATCTGTAGATTTGCAGTCCACACACATACAAATTCGGTATCAACGAATATATATTGCGAAGCGAAACTCAAAAATATATTTGAATAATTATCGAGATAGAAATAAGCCAATTTGTGACTGTTTGTGAACTAAAATCATGAGCACGAATACATGTGTATACAGACGTGTGTATAAACATTTACTTTACAATATATATATATATATATATACAAACACAAACTACACGCTCATACACACACACACACACACACACACACACACAT